GCATTATACCAAAATGTTTATTTAAAACTTTACACTCATGGGAAAAAGACACAATCCAGATGAATTTGACTTTGATCTTCGCGTTTGGTTCTGCTATGACGTGGTAAGGTATCGAACGACCAGCCTTCAACTGTCCGGGGCAGACCCACTGGACTACGGAGGCGTCTTGTCTTCCAATATCTACGCTACGTGTCATTTATCACAATGTTAAAAACCGTTAGCAAATGTTATGCTAGGTCACGGTGACCTAATCGAAAAGGACCGCGTGAACATCAACGAATCATGGGTATTCCTACCACGTGACAATCACGCATCGTAGCACGTTAGATATTCAACAACTGAAAACAACAGATAAAACATCTATAGCACTTTACAGAACAAAAACAATTATATAGTTCAATGATACCAAAATGTGATCTATCTTTTGTAAAAAAGTTTGAATGATTTCAAACAAATATGTTCGACAAGTATTCATTTTTACGTGAGCGTACCTTTGACTGTGACAAATTATGTACATTCGTGAATCAAAGATTAAATACAGGGATTCTTAAATATTGCCCCTGTTGTCTAGTATAATTCCTGTTACAAGTGTTGATCTATGAATTTGAGTTTCAATATAATTCGTTAATTAATAATTGACCTCAGATGGTTATGTTAATGATAACACACTTTCATTCTGCTTGTACCGGTGTAGTGGGATAGCCTAGTGGGTAAGGTGTTCTCTTGTCACGCCGAAGACCTGGGTTCGATTCCCCACATGGGAGGACAGCTGTCATCTAAGGTATGGCTGCCCACATGGAAAGTTCATGGTTGCTCCAAATGACAAAGCCACAACCTAACTCAATAATACAAAAAATTATACCTCATAAAGGTCACATGTAACATCAACTAGAAGCGACAAAACCCTTTGTATGATTGTATAATTCTGAATATATTAAGAGTAGTTTTTTGTTCGTTTGTCTTCTTGTCAAACGGGGGCGGTGGGGTAGCCTAATGGTTAAAGCGTTGGCTCGTCACGCCGAAGGCCCGGGTTCGATTCCCCACATGGGCACAATGTGTTAAGCCCATTTCTGGTGTCCCCCGCCGTGATATTGCTGGAATATTGCTAAAAGCGGCGTAAAACTAAACTCAGTCAGTCTTGTCAAACGCCGCCACCAGGGTCTTTAAACAATCGCGTCTGGGTCAGACAATCCGGTGATTGACCCCATGAGATGCGGTGACAGAGGAAGTGTCTATAAGAGAGTATCCTGCTCCACCTGTCGCGCCTGCCATAAACATACACAAATACTCGTCATTAAAATACACCTGCTCTGCTTGGTCATTGCAAATCTGTCCATTACCTTTCAGTAATGGAGACTTTCCCTGGGAAAAGTCTCAATTACTAACATTGAAGTGTACTCATTACTAAAAGAGAACAAACATAACTTTACACTTGAGTCCTGCCCCACAACGGAGCACATGTGACACATGTGGTCTCACCTTAAGCAAGTGAGTTTGTTCAAAATTGTCTCTGTTCACCCAGCAGGAAAATGGGTACCCGGTGGAAAAAGGTCATATGACTATAACCTTCTAGCGCCTAACAGGCAGCTTGGGTTATCCGGGGTAATAATGGCCTTGATTGTTAGCGCTATGAGCATACCTAGTGTGGAGTTTGGCGCTATATAAATGGACACACTATTATTATTATTATTTTGATTTTTTCCCAGAAATTAGAGTTAGTTGACATTCACACTAACAGTAACAGAAATGGTGTTTTTACTGTCGTCAGACTTATCTATGTTAGTACTAGAACAGGCGGCAGAACTGGCTGACACAGGAACTGAAGCTTGACCTTGCAGAAGAGAACTCAACTTCCGAGCCGAGTTGGTACGCTTATAGCTCCTCACTGCGCTTGACCGGTTCCCAGTTACCTCGCATATCAATTGCTCGTCAACACCAGCCTCATACAAACGAGTGGCGGCTGTGGCGCGTAGTGAGTGGTTGGTCCTGTGTCCGGTCAATCCAGCTCTTTGGCAAATGTCAGACACCGTAGCAGCTAGACTGTGGCGGCCAACTGCTTGACTGCTGTACCCTACGTCGCCCACTGGATTTCGTAATGGTCGCAAGTAGAAGGGGTCACTGTCTCTTTTGGGGGATGGTCTATGGGTTAAATATTTTTCAAAGAGTTCAACCAAACACCTTTCTGGCTTGTCAACGTTCTCATAGGCCCTCACAGATTTTGCTTTACACTTCCGATGCTTAAGGTCCCCCTGATTGGACTTAGGTAAGACGTCCTCAGTACAGATCAGAACACGTCCGTGTTGATCAGACCATGACGAAAACTGAGAAGTCCTTCCGACGCGCAAATTTCGGTGTTCCTGGCCATCTCTGAGGTGTTCCTGGCCACCCCTGAGGGCGAAATTAATCCCAACCAAGTAGAAAATAGTGTCCAATAATTGCTTAGGGTTATCACTCCCAAGAACACCTTTTGCCCATAGAACTTCCTCTTCCTCTTCCTCTTCCTTATTTGCAACAAGGCGACATCAGTTAGGAACCTGTAGGCTTTGCCAATGCTGTCCATGTGTAACTGGAGATAGATCACAAGTCCATATAACGTGTCGGACGGGAAATCAGTGCCGTCCGTCTTCTTCACCTCACAGACAAATCTGGAAATATACAGTATAGTTCAAAGAATTAAGAACGAGGAAGAATTTGGAATGTATTTTAGTCAAAATAAGGACATCATGTGGGTTTTAAATTTTGAAATGTCCTCCATATGTCTACCATAGCCTTGGGGGAGTAGCCTTGTGGTTGAAGCGTTCGCTCGCCACGCTGAAGACCCTGATTGATTCCCCACATTGGTGTTCCCCACGTGATATTGACGGAATATTACGCTAAAAGCGTAAAATCATACTCTCTCACTCACTCACTCACACACTGCCATGAAACATCAGTACTATTGACGCTTGGTTTGATCCCAAAACAGGAGGACATGTCAATTCATCTGTTGTACTGAATTCCAAAGCTCCATCAAACTTCGCTAAATACATACTGAGTTCAGGAAATGTACCACAGCATCCTTGTATCAAAGATAAATTAACATTCTCTATGTTCGTAGAAAGTATTCGAGGCAAGTGGAATACCCCGTATTGTCTTAAGACCGCCTCCATGGTGTAGTGGTTAGAGCTTCCGCCCGGAGAGTGGAAGGTCGCGGGTTCGATCCCCGACCACGTCATACCAAAAGACGTTAAAGTATGGTACTTGTTGGTCCCTGCCTGGAGCTCGGCATTAATGGGTACAACGAGGTCTGGTCGGCTCGGAGTCAGTATAATGTGTCTGAGTGGGGTATTCATGCTTCACTGTGGCATGGTATCTCAGTGGGCTAGCACTATAAAACCAGCTTAAGTCTGGGCTAGTACAAGCAGCCGCACATACATACACACGCATGCACGTCGTCATATGAGCGAAATGTTCTCAAGCACCACGTAAAACCCAATTTCACCCCACCTCACCTCACCGTATAGGCTACAAAACTCAATAAATTTGCTTAAATGTTTACAAAAATGAACAAGTTCAATTTGATCAAACTGTCGATTTGCAGTATGCACATTATCTCCCCACATATTGAACCAAAGAGAAAACTTCGAATTCACTGCGTCATTCAAGGGAAATTGTTGCTAAACGTGCTGACCTCACTATAGCCTTGGCTGCCGCCTTGCCTTACTTTAGCCAACATTAAAATCAAGCAGTCATTAACGGAGCTTTGCTTGTTGAAAACAACGGCTATCCGGATACAAACGAATGAACATTTATTTCTATCATGCGAAAAGTTGTGGTTTGGGTGAAAAAATATATAAAACAGTTCCTCATACAAGTGAATGAACCAACATCATGCGTGATCAAATTAAACTAAACCAGTCATTGTTAACATGTCAAGTGGATATCAAGTTTAATAAATATCCTCAGGAATATCTTGATGAACACAAAACATTTCTGTAAGTATCTGTTGTGAACACGTTTGCGAACACAGACGTGACCATTACTGTGAACATCGCAATGAACATCAATGTAAACATCGCAATGAACAGCAACGTAAACATCGCAATGAACAGCAATGTAAACATCGCAATGAACATCATTGAACACTGACGTGACCATCACTGTAAACATCGAAATGAACATCACTGTAAACATCGCAATAAACATCACTGTAAACACTGACGTGAACATCAAGTAAACATCGCAATGAACATCAATGTAAACATCACAATGAACATCACTGTAAACATCGCAATAAACATCACTGTAAACACTGACGTGAACATCATTGTAAACATCGCAATGAACATCAATGTAAACATCGCAATAAACGTCACTGTAAACAGTGACGTGAACATCAATGTAAACATCGCAATGAACATCAATGTAAACACCCATCACTGTAAACCCTGAGGTGACCATCAATTTAAACATCGCAATGAACATCAATGTAAACGTGGCAATGAACATCAATGTAAACACCCATCACTGTAAACCCTGAGGTGACATCAATTTAAAAATCGCAATGAACATCAATGTAAACACCCATCAATGTAAACATAGCAATGAACATCAATGTAAACACCCATCAATATTAACATTGTAATGAACATCACTGTAAACATCGCAATAAACATCACTGTAAACACTGACGTGAACATCAAGTAAACATCGCAATGAACATCAATGTAAACATCGCAATGAACATCACTGTAAACATCGCAATAAACATCATTGGAACACTGACGTGAACATCATTGTAAACATCGCAATGAACATCAATGTAAACATCGCAATAAACATCACTGTAAACAGTGACGTGAACATCAGTGTAAACATCGCAATGAACATCAATGTAAACACCCATCACTGTAAACCCTGAGGTGACCATCAATTTAAACATCGCAATGAACATCAATGTAAACATCGCAATGAACATCAATGTAAACACCCATCACTGTAAACGCTGAGGTGACCATCAATTTAAACATCGCAATGAACATCAATGTAAACACCCATCAATGTAAACATCGCAATGAACATCAATGTAAACACCCATCGATATTAACATTGCAATGAACATCAATGTAAACATCGCAATGAACATCAATGTAAACACTGACGTGAACATCAATGTAAACATCGCAATGAACATCAATATCAACATCGCAATGAACATCAATGTAAACATCGCAATGAACATCAATGTAAACAGCCATCAATGTAAACATCGCAATGAACATCAATGCAAACACCACTATGAACACTGTGGGAAAATACTACCGTGAACACAGCTATGGGCACTATGGTGAACATCCCTTTATGAACATCGTGATGAACAATGCCGTGAAAATCCTGGTGGTCACAGCTATGAACACCGCTATGAACATCATGATGAACACTGTCGTGAACACGTCCACTTCAGATCCAAGCGGCAAGAAATATATATCCCAGCACGGAAACTCCAAGAACAACAAGCACACTGAGATTCACAGAAACCCCAGCTCCCAAAGCACCGGGACTCTTCCAGGGTTTGAACTCATGAATAGTTGTCAGATTCGTCGGGTTCTTCATCCACTGAACCAACTGATGCATCGTGACAATGTACACGTCGTTAAGATCCAGAAGGGACAAAATAAACCTATCCAAAGCCGAGTAATGATAGTCCGTGTTCAGCCACCCTGGCTTCATGTTCACAATAAAGGGAATCTTTTTACTCCTATAGAAGTTGTAAAAGTTCCTCCACAGAAGCTGAAAAGCATCCGATTCCGTTTCTGGCTTAACGATGCACCCACCCACTGTCATGCAAGGGTATTTCAGCTTGTGGTCCAGTAGCGCTATAACGGGGATCTCCCATAACGTGTAGTTGCTGCTAGGGCAGGGCTTTGTCTCACATGACAACGGCCATCCATGTTGTAGAGTTCCAGGCCAAGTGATATCGTCCTCAACATTATCAACATTGTCATCATCGCCACCATCAAAATCACCCATCTTCGTATCGCATCATCATCACGACTGCCACCATCATCACCATCATCATTCATCGTGTTTACGTCACTCCTATATTTCCCCAGTGTATATGAGGAAGCCGACTGTCCACTTCAGATGATCATGTAGAGATGTCCCACATGCAATAGGGCACTCATCACCCCAACCAACCTTCCCTGAGATCCCACGACATGAACCCTTCCTCCACCACAATACTCATTAATCTAACCCCACGGCCAATCCGGTGTAGCAGTTACACGAGAGAGAGGTGGGGAGAGAGAAACAAACACACACACACACACACACACACACACACCCTCTCTCCCAACCAACGGGGTCCTCCTTGGCAGAGACAAGTGACTGTGACTGTGCCTGCTTAGGTGTAACAGGAAAAGAATATGTAAAAGAGCCCAGTTATACACTGGGCGACCTGAGGCGAACAACAGATATTCTGTACTGCAATAGAGAGACCGGCCCCGAGGGCAAGCTATGTCCTCACATATAAAGAGGAACGCCAGGTAATATACTCTCCACGCTACATATCTCACGTTATCTGCGTTTTAATCATAACGATATTTGTATGAGCTGCATTGTCTTCCAAACTCAACATAAAGCCTGTGAGAGAAATTAGCTTTACAATCACAATAATAGATGCATTGCGATCACATCAGAATTATAATGGTTGTTATCATTAGAGTAAATAGTAAAATCATCAGTAAAGAGTTTCACTGCTGTTGTTTGTATAAAAATAACAAATAAAAAAGCCTATCTATATATTTCTATTGCTTCATCAGCATTACTACTACAGCTACCATTACTACTACTACAACTACTACTGCTACGAGTACTACTACTTCTACTACTACTGCTACCATTACTACCACTTCTACTACTACTACTACTGCTACCATTACTACTACTACTTCTACTACTATTGCTACCATTACTACTACTTTCACTTGAGCGAACGCCTTAACCACTAGGCTACCTCACCACCTAAAGTCTGTGAGAGAAATAAGCTTCCGTTTTTATTATATATAATAAAATGCATTGCAATCACATCGTAATGATAATTGTTGTCATCATTAGAGTACATAGTAAAATCATCATCAGTAAACAGTGTCACTGCTGTTGTTTGTGTAAAAATAACATGATAATAAATTCAAATAAATATATTACCTCATCAGCATTACTACTACAACTACTAAAACTACTACTACTACTACTACTGCTGCTACTACTACTACTACTACTACTACTACTACCACAATTGCTACAGCTACTGCTCTGGCTGCTTCCACTGCTATTACAACAGCTACAACTACCATTGCTACAGCTTCTACTACAACATCTACTGCTACACAACTACCACGCCTACTACCACGCCTAATACTACTACTACTACTACTACTACTACTACTACTGCTGCTGCTGCTGCTACTGCTGCTGCTGCTGCTGCTGCTGCTTCTACTACTGGAGAGTACGTAATTATAAATCTTATAAATTCTAGTGTCATGCGTTTTTATACAGCTTAGTATCTTGAAATTTCAAGGAAATAAATAAACGAATGGCCCTAAAAGGTTTCCGTATACAGGCGAATGTTTCATAAAACGCACCGGGACGTGAATGTACCCTATGTTGTTAGAACCGCCTGGGTTCAAATACGGGGAAATGTGATATCTTCAGCAACTTTCACATTTGCTTGCCAAGTATTAACGTAGCAAGTAACAGGACGTACAGTGGCGACTGCTAACTTCATCATACGTGCTTGTATAATGTGTCAGACATGTGTGTAATGAATGTCGTGTGTTTAGCGTGGCTTTGAACAATACAGTTGAACCTCATTTATCTGGACACTCGCGTTTTTTCACATCGCGTCCGGATAAACGATTTCCGGATATCGTCATCTCTCCAGTTACCTCCCCTTACTCGTATTCTACCGATGTCCATCTCGCCAGTTACCTCCCCTTACACGTATACTACAGACGTACATGTGTAAACAAGACCCTCTGATATATAATGTAAGTATTTTACGAAGTCAAACTGTAGATCGCATCCCCTCGACGAAATCAGGTAAACGAAAAGGTGATCAGACACTTCGTTAATCAAAAATAGAAATTTGCAATCATAATTCACTGGACAAAATTATTTAACATATATATTGTGTTTCATTCTCTGTTAGACATTGTTTTTCTTATACAGGGATTGCGATTATTGTGTATATGTTCTCGTAAACTAAGGGGCGGTGGGGTAACCTATAGGTTAAAGCGTTCGCTCGTCACGCCAAAGACCCGGGTTCGATACCCTACATGGGTACAACGTGTATAGCCCATTTCTGGTGTTTTCCCGACGTGATATTGTTGGAATATTGCCCAAAACGGCGTAAACCTAAACTCACTTACTTACTCTTGTAAACTAAACAGGTAATTCAGTTAGAAAGCAATTCCTTTGAGTTATTATGCAATAAGTTTCTAGCACTATTATTGTATCGGAAGAATACATTCCGACGCAGTGTTAATTCCTCATACGCAGAGCACGTGGAGCAAATTAGTCCTATTGCTGGATAGCTTTAGGTGAGGAACAATTTGATGAGTCACCATTGAGATTTCCTGCGATCGTCTTGTTTCAATTTTTCCATGAGAAGGGATAAATATTTTAGTGTCAAAACATTAAAGGACTTTTTTATGGTATTAATATCATTTAGTAATTGTTGTTTTTTTAAGAAAAATTGAAGACTATGTTTTGTAAATAGATCAATGACATTATAAAATTGGTAGATTAAATTAGCCACTGTGATTGTTAGGGGCTCTATCCTCAACGGGGTGGGGTGGGGTGTGTTAGTTAAAGTATTGTAAGATTATTGTCCTCCCGACAGGATACATAAGTCCGAAAATCTTTAAAGTAAATTAATCGATCGATAAATCCATGTAGGAAGCAAATGTACTGTAAGTCTCCACGGTCTCTAGTATGGTGATCTACCTTCAGTTGTTGGCAATCTATTGTCTGTTTTTATATTGTATTGTTAGTAGTAGTAATATTGTTTATGATAACATGCTAATTTTACTTTAATATCTGTGATGCACTAGTAGTTTTACTGTTCTTCGCCAACAGGGCTTATAATTTCTAATTTTATTCGTCTGTCATATACTTTTAATTGTTCTGGTCACGATATGGCTGAAATTGTGCCGATGTGACAATACATATTCACTCACTCACTCACTCACTCACTCACTCACTCACTCACTCACCACTCACCCATGTGCCCCAAGACGTGGTCGATGTGGTTGTATCGGATGACGTTGCCGCGCTGTAGACAAGTGTTATCAATATGCAAATAATCATCGTGTTAAGTATTAGAGAAAATACCAGCGAAGAGTTTAAGTTAATATTGGTCTTGAGCAACCCATGCTGTCGTAAGAGGTGCTTCACAGGATCAGATGGTGACTCTCACTGGCTTCGTTAACACATGTCATCGTATCCCGGTTGTGCAGGCCGTTGCTCATGATATCAGTCACTAGATTGTCTGGTCCAGACTCGTCTATTATTAGATACGGAAGTCATAAATCTAAAACATTGTTAAGAGCGGCTGTAAATAACACATAGACAAATACACGAATTATAGAAATGAGTGGACTGGTGAGTGACTCTTCAGACGTTTGGCACCCTTGAAGATCCGGGTTGGAATTGGTCTTCAGTAACCCATGCTTGTCGTAAGAGGCGACTAACGAGGATCATGTGGTCAGACTCGCTGACTTGGTTGACTCATGTCATCTGGTTTCTCTCAACAATCCAAAATGATCAATATACAGACGCAGTTTTACTATTTATTCATTATTTATGAACAAGTCATTTGTTGTTGTTTCCAAGGCATGAAATATATATCACGCTGTTTTCAAGCTTAAAGTGACCAATTGATGAGAAGTACATGTGCATAGAAGGTAGTGACAAGCAGAGGTAATATTGGAGTAGTCGATGTCTAATTAGACAGGCCACACAAAGTAGTGAGTGAGTGAGTGAGTTAATATTAAACGTCACATCGGCAATATTTCAGCCATATCGTGACGAGAACATTTGATACTGAAATGAAATATATGTATATTATAAAAATACTGCCGACAAAGGACAGTAAAACAACCAGAAAATCACAGATATGTATATAAAACTAGTAATTTAATCTAAAATATTGGAACTATACATGACAATACAATATAAAAACAGGCTCCACATATAGTATGTAAACATGTTGAACATGAACATATACATAACATAAGTATTTATACCCCAGTAGTTGGATAGTAGTGGATATAATGTAACATTTCTAGAAACGACCGGGACAAAAGAGGGTTTCTCTTCGTTACATAATAGGATACAACCTTTGGAGCTACAAATTCATTCTTTTAAACTATTTGTATTCAATATGAGAGGAAACGTCACTGCTAACGCTGTGTTGGTAAAGCATCAATGCATATATTCTAGGGTGACTGACTGACTGAGTTAAGTTTTACACTGCTTTTAGCAATATTCCAGCAATATCACGGCTGGGGACACCAGAAATGGGCTTCACACATTGTGCCCATGTGGGGAATCTATATTCTAGAATTGAAGGGACCAGGGTACGACACCATGCGAAAAAAAACATCACACATTACTTCAGCCTTTCGTAAATAATAAACATGACACTATGGTTATATGTTAGGTGAAAATATCATATGAATTAGAAATAGAAATCTGGTAACTATAAGAATATTTCAAACTTCAAAAAACACATTAACCATTCATAAATAGGTAATAATTCACTACGAATGGATCCGCTATTTACAAAGACAACACATGCGACGAATGGGAAAAGTTAGTTCCATTGAAAACAAATTTGTCGTTATTTCAGATAAATTCTGATCCAAATAAAACACACCTGATTTTCTAACGTATACAGAATCATACTTACATATTCGCGACATCCGTTGCAGTTCATTTTTCATTTGTTCTTTTTCGATAGACTTTGTAATGAACACTAATAGTAAAACATTAATCATAACTGCAAATACCAGCATCTGTTGCACATTACATTGTTGTGGAAT